GGGAAGGGAGGCTAGCCCTTCCTCCATTAGAAATTGCTTTGGGAAGCCAGCCTTAATTAAAGGGCGTAGCCATCTTTTACCTGGGCTACTTAGATTTTTATAATTAATATAGATCAATAATTCTTGAGATTCAAATCTATATTATTTTAAGGCAGTTACTTTGGTAAATTTTCTGTAACAGACAATTTTACTAAATTTCTTTGAGGCTTTTAAGATTAACTTTGGAACAGGCTTTATTAACATTTCAAAAATCACTCTTTATTATGGAAATATACCAATCTTATTGCTAGAACCAGCCTGCATTTCTTCCCTGGTTCAAATACGCCATTTTTCTTAGGAAATAAGCAGTCTTGGGTTTTATTCTGTACATTTGTAAAGAGATTTTAGCTCAAAACTCTATCTAAATGTCCAAAATTGGACGGTGCGCGCGTTAGTTCCAAGCCAGTTTTTCTCTTTACACGTGCACAGAAATCCCAGATGCATTTTTTAAATTTTGTAAAACTTTTCAATTAGAATAGTTGGGGAGGGGGCGTCCATATTGGATCGCCATGTGCTCCCTTCTTTGCTTCCCCCACATCCTGCTTTGGGGGAAGTTTCAGCAAATGACGCAGATGGCGTATTTTTCCCAAAGTCATGCTTAATAGAAAAAGACATTTTAAATTTTTTCCTATTTCGCTTTCCAAAGTTATGGCTAGCACCCAAGGTTATCTTAGCCAAATTTTGGTTGTCAAAAGATGTTCTCCGGTAATTTTTAAACAAAACATTAAGTAATCTCATTGCGGGAGATCTTATAGCTCTGCCCTCTCCTGCCACCTTTGAATCTCTCCACAGCAGAGGTGGATTCAGTAGCGGAATTTCATTTCTTATTACAGATTTTAGATTCCAAATACAAATTAAGATTTTAATTTGAACAAGAAACCACATTAAGATGACCATGGCACTCTTTTTTTCCCGCCTGATTTAAAGGAGTACCTTTTAATATTCCAATTTCTTTATAATTTGGCGTTTTTGCACAGGTGATTCTATTAACGGAGAATTAATTAGGACATGGAGGTGGAGGGAGCCATGAAGGCCATTCCTCCCATTTTTTCTTTCTGCTCCTCTTTAGGACGGAGGGTGCAAGGGGAGGAGATTTATCCTCCTTGGCCTCTCTCAAAGGCTCTAGTAAATGAAATACTGTGTTTCACAAGGAAAAACAGGTTGGAGGCAAGTTTTTCCCTGCTGCTGACCTTTTTTCAATTTCTAACTTTTTGGCAAACTTTTAAGATCTAATGTACCTTTTTCAAGAAACCAAAAGTTATTTTCTATAATAACATGCAAAAACTGTAAGAGATTACCTTCTGAAACTTTAACTACTTAAGCATACAAATCAATAGTCTATAATAAAGTTTCTTACTTTTTTTAAAAGCCCAATCTACTTTTTTAAAGCCGAATCCTGCCCCGTTAGCCTGGTTGAGAAAACGTTCCCACACCGCCTACAGCTCCGGACCACTGTAGCTGATTGTGGGCGTTTGTGTGCGGTGAAATAACCCCTCACCTTTACGGTGAATTTTCCTACCTTTACGGTGAATTCTTTGTTCCTCACTTTGCCAGTGAAATTTCGTTTTTTTGCTCTAGCGAAACCTTCACTTCCAGAGTCCCTGTTCGGGCGCCAGATGTCGTAAGTGTTTCCCTCCACGTCCTGCGTGGTTCAGGGTTCGGATCTGGAAGTGGAGCCGCACACAAATGAAATAGAAAAGACACGAGATAATTTGGGAATATTGGGGGACCAGGCGGCAAGTCCAACTCAGGGAGAAGGACTTCCACTGTGCTCAGGCCTCACCAAGCTTTTATAGTGAGAGGTAAACAAGGTAGTGATTACCATAGTTACACAGTTCTTGTGAGTTTCACTTGTTTTGACCATGGTTACACTTCCTGCACTTCCTCAGCCCATTAGCTTTCCCAGATAAGATCTAGGGAGTGTTATAAGGTCAAGCCTAATTATGCTAAGAGGACTGTGCCCTTTAAGCTAGGACTTGTTTGTGACTTTGCCAGCAGGCCAGTCCGAGGCTTAACCCTATATCAGTTTCCCACAGGAAATTATGTGAAATCAGGCTGAAAGATCAAGCCACAATTCTTCCTTCTTGTGGCTTCTTAGAATCGTCAGGCCTGATGGGACCCTGATAATTGCATCTGCACCTGGCTCCTGGCTGAACTTAGATAATTACACCCACCTGCTGGCGCCTGAGCTAAAGGTCAGGACTGACCACATCCCTGCCTTTGGCGAGGTATGTCTCCAGGACATGGCTTTGCCTACTCTGCTGGACTCAGCCGAGGACCCTTGGCTCAGTTGCCCCCCAGGCCCTCTCTGCACAGAAGAAAGGCCTGAAGAGCGCCATTAGCCATGTGTTGCCACCTCAAGGCTTCTGGATGTTAGGTTGGAGGAAGGCTAAGGAAAGAGTCATTCCAGTTAGTAAGGTTGGAGTTGAAGAAGTCGCTGTGGCAATGATCATGGAGAGAGATGACACGGTTGATGCCTATGGTAGTCCTTGTGGACAAAGAGGCTATTTCCAGAAGACTTTCCTTTGTTTTGATGTACCAGTCTCTGTTTTATTTTTTATCTTTGTTGTTGAAAGTATTGGAGATGTCCCCCTTCCCCCCTCATTGATCCCCTCCTCCCCACTTTCTTAAATCTGCCCTGGTATGTTTTTAGGAATAGTGTCTTCTGAGTAGTGTGTCTCCTAAGTGGTTCTCAGGACTTGCTGAGAAGTTGATGAACAATCAGAGCCCCTAGAATTTTCATTCTGATGTCTTGGCAAGAACTCAAAGAAGCTGAGAATGGAGGGTGGACTCAATCGCTACAGAGAAAACAGTCCTAGAGAGAAGGCTAGATATGAGCCTGACTGGTTGTCATATGTGATATGAAGCTGGGGCTGCTTTACATCTCCTACTGCTGCCTCTGAAAATGTGAATTGCATTTATTCTGTGTCTGTTTCAGCGTGTAGGTTTGGTATGTATGAGGTATTTTGCCCCATTAGTGCATATATTGAAAAGAACTGCACCTGAGAAGTTATACTCAGTTCACTTTGTGAGTCCCAGGTCCTGGTTTGAATGGTGAAATCCTGAACTTCTGTCTTGAGCTTGTTGCTGTTATTGTATTACACTTGGAATTCCTTGGAGGGTGGTCAGAGTTCGGAGTATGTGGGAAGTGTGAATGTCTCTGGAGCCTGATGGTGGAACAGTACTAGTCCAGGATGACTTGTCATGGATCACAAGGCAACATACCCATGCCCTGGTGTAGTCTTCTCCACATGATTATGGCTGTCTCTCTGACTCACCTTTGAACATTAGGATGTGATGGGAGTGACACTGCATGACTTCTAGAGCTGGGTCCCATTACACCTTGCACCTTCTACTTGAGCTTTTTCAAGGGTTCTCTGTGGCATAAGCCAGTCACCATTCATTAAATCCCAAACCCTTGAGACCTCTGTGATTTGAAGAGGTCTAAGGCAACCATGAAGGCCATGTGAAGAGAGAAATAACTAGCCAGCCCCAGCTGTTTCAGCCAGTGCACGTGAAGGGTCAGATATCAGGAAAGCATCCATCAGAAAACTTCCCTACCCACCGCAATTTGATTAAGGCCACATGGTACACTACCCATATGAGTGCAGTAAACCTGCCAAACTGAGGGAGATAATCATAAATTATAGTTTTATACCAATATATTTGGGGAGGTTTGTTATTCTGTAGTGATTAAGTGGGACAACATCAAAACCAGAGTCGGGTCACTGCATCCAGGTATATAAATTGTTCTTGTTTTAATAACAATTTTTATCCTCCCTGGTCTAAAATGGTGACAATTCATTATCAAACATGCCCCAGGCTTCTGCCCACATAAATTGGAAAAATCTTGCAATTGTTTGAATAATAGGAAAATCTTTGAGGCAAATCTTTTTGGTTCTTCAAATAGTCTTTGGATTACAATTTTTTAAGTGCACCCTGGCTGGGTGGCTCAGTTGGTTGGACCATCATCCTGTACACCAAAAGGTTGCAGGTTGGGCTCCCAGTCATGGCACACATGGAAGGCTCCCAGTCAGGGCACACATGGAAGGCAACCCATTGATGTTTCTCTTTTATTGAGTTTCTCTCTCTCTCTCTCTCTCTCTCTCTCTCTCTCTCTCTCTCAAAATCAATAAAAATATATCCTCAGGTGAGGATTAAAAAAAAAATTTTAAGTTCTGGCCTTGTCATTTTCTTCATTTTCCCCAGTGCATCTCACACAAAACCTGTCACAGTGTCAATATATATTAAACATCCCTAGCATAAGGAAGAATTAAGACTTTTCACCCGA